GTTGCCCTCATCTTCTGGTATCAGTTCTACTGTGGATTCTCTGGGTCAGCCATGGTTGATCAGTGGTACCTGATCTTCTTCAACCTGATGTTCTCCGCATTCCCTCAGCTCATCACTGGCACCCTGGACAAAGATGTGTCAGCAGAAACCCTGCAGGAGTTGCCGCAGCTCTACATGAATGGACAAAACTCAGAGGTACATGCTGATTGGACAGAACATAATTACACCATCCGTGAACTGCGTGAATTGAATTATAATTGGGAGCGAAAAGACTATTGAAAGTGTAATGTAAATGGTAAATAAAAACCCATGAACAGCTTTTTGCCACATGTATTTACACTTCCTCTATAAGCAGATGAAGTATATTACCCGTGCAGCGCTTGCCACAGTTATTGCTTTGTTTTTTGCTGACCCGTTTCAAAATGGGTCTTTTATTCTGTGCTGAGTCTTTTATTCCGGCACGAGCACGAGCAAGAGCAAACATTTTATAAAAACCACCAATCATCTTGAGAGTGGTGAAATTTTGCAACCTGGGATAATTAAACTGCAGCGGTTGCCTCTGCTTTGCTAACCATATGCCTCTGCAGAAATCTTCCTTTGACTTTGCCATTTATTTGCGTTCTGTGACTCCATTAGTGGAACATCTAATGACATTATAATAAAACATGGTCGTCTGAAATTGTGTGCCTGGATCTGATTGTTTGAATTTCTTTTACAGGAATATAAACCCTACATGTTCTGGATGAACATGATTGATGCCTTCTACCAAAGCCTCATCTGTTTCTTCATCCCTTACTTTGTAAGTGTGATTAGAATGCTTTGAGTATTCGCTGAAATGTCCATACAAAATCCATGGCTGTTCAAGTATGTCTTCCTTAGGATGGAGGCCATCTGATCTTGATGGAACCTTTTTAGTGCAGTATTTAAAGTTTGAGTGCACTGCAGGGATGTTCGAAAAAACCTTCAAATAAGAGAAGCTTACTTCAAGCAAGACTTTGTAGCATTAAGACTGATTTGCATAGTTTGTGTCTTCAATATTATTGTATTTTGTCTATTGCACTGGCAGATGTTTTTAGTTTATAATTAATGCTTTAAAGTAAACTTTTTGTTTCAAGAATTTTCTGATGTTTTAACTGCACTTTTTGCAGTGTGCTGTGCATGTAAAGTAAAATAAAAAAGCAGGGTCCGTAAGTAATCAACAGTGTCATGTGCATGTCATATATTTGCAGGCTTACGTTGACTCGGATGTGGATTTGTTTACATGGGGCACTCCCATCATCACCTTGGCACTCTTCACCATTTTGCTGCACTTAGGCATAGAAACCAAAACCTGGGTGAGTCTTGTTTTATATTATGCAAAATGTAATAGGATGTAGTGGCTAAAACTCAGTCAAACTCACCCGTAAAAAGTCTCTTCATGGTTCTTCTGTACTGATTTTGCAGTGTAAAGACGGTTGTGTGCTTGTTATGATTGGTGAGGGTCTCTGGTTAAACCTGCTTATTCTGTTTCTTACCCTAAACACCATTTGCAAAAATGCTGATAAGAATAGTGAAGTCTGTTTTCAATCTGATTAATGTTCATTTCAATAAATTGATTG